GTAGGTTAGGTTTAAGTTAAATTAAATTTAAACTAACGTAAAACGTAAAAAGTAAAAAACGTAAAAACTAAACTAACTACGTCGTCGTCTATATATATATATATATACGTAGTATATATATATATATATATATATATACGAGTATATTTATATATTTATATATATATATAGATATATAGATATATCAAGTCCTCATATGGACGTGAAGAAAATTTTTCAGCATCAATATCACGTGGCCTAAATTTTAGATGGTAGGCGGCTCGGTTCGATTTTGGCGAGTCGATGAACGTGTTTGTTTTCATTTAGGTATCTAGTCCGGAACGATAGCAGTACTGATTAACCACGGGTTGACTCGATACCTGTAATCGGAAATCAGGGCAAGGACAAACGCTAACAAATTACACTATTTTTATACGAACAGCGGTGTACGAAATGCTTGATGCTCTGCTGCATAGTACTCGCGTCCAAGTATGTAGAGGACTTAACATATCTAAATAAGGCCTGGGCGTATTGGGGAGATGTTTCCATTCCGCATTTGAACACAGTTGAACACTGGATTCTACAGGTATGATCTTAATTCTATGATTTGGGATTGTATACACGAAAGCCATGCAGGTGTTTTGCACAATTTAACTCGTCGACTAGGTATAAATACTTTCTCGTGTTTGTCCGCTGTTGCTTGTTGAAGAAGACGTACGTAAAGGGCAGCAGCTGTGCATTAGTGTCACTATCGTCTCCACAACCAGTACTGCACGTTTTTTCTCAACAATATTCATATCGCATCGTGCATATATGTCTAATTTCTTCTGCAGACGTTTGACTTCAACGTATCCGTGACCACCAGCGAATTCGAGACAAGAGCAGCTCATTACAAAAGCAATTTGAGCTCAGCCGCGTTTTCCTCTCCAAAACATGTGTGCAGGTGAGTTCATCTATGCGTGTATATCATATTAGTCCACATGGGCTTTCTCTAAAATCAGTGTACCGATTAATGATAGTTGCAGCCCCTCGACTTTATAGATGCAACTAGCGCTACGCACAAGCTTGCTATTCAGGCGTAAGGGAAAGTATAAGCCTCTGTACAATTCAGGCGTCTTGTGGAAGTGCACGTTGATTGGTACTGTGCAGCGAGGCATTGGGATTACCAGGTATCTATGTTCAACATGCTCAAATACGTTATATGACGGGTTTTGTGATTTGCTGCTGTGCAGTCAATAAGAGTAGGGTCAATCTGATGTGCCTGTAGCGTTGGATAAATAAGATGAGATTATGCTGTTGTAGTACAGCCATATATATGAATATGAGTATACCAACATATTTGCACGAACTGTTTATACACAACGTATACTTTCCATAGATACATGCTGAACTTGTCGCCCGTGATGGGAGTTCTTTAATGTACATTCGAACCCATCGTCGGTCTAATACCCGTCACACATGGCGACAAGTCTACATGCTCATAAAATTTGATTCTTGCAAGCTCAACAGTCGGTCTAATACCCATCACACATGGCGATAAGTCTACATGCTCATAAAATTTGATTCTTGCAAGCTAATCCCGCATTCTGTCTTAATACATTCAGCACCGCGTCCTTGCCCGGATGCTCAATGGGCCCTCCACTGCCGTATAGCAAATCGCGAGGGGGTGACATAGACCACAACAGAGACCCGAAGATGTGCCTGACAGCGCAGTCGTATACTGACAAGTTCAATTCAGTCGACAGAAGCGTGAGGAACAGCGATGATTCTGACCCCCTCTGCGAGTAAGTTGAAGTAACATGGGTCTGTGGTACATAGTACCCTGATTCAGTGACATGGTAGTTTTTTGCTCGATCCGACATATGATCAATACAGTTCATAGTGAGTTTCTGTGAGATGTTTTGAACCTGTACAATTGGCTGTATTCTCTGTAGATATGATGCGGCTACGACATATATTTTGTACAGAACGTGAGCTCAGGATGCCGAGCAAATTAGTCGCTCAACGCTAGAACTATGATTCTAAATCCACTTTCTTTATTCATGCACATCTGCAGCTTATCGAGGAAAAATTCCGTTCCCGCGTCCATCGAAACAGTTGTAAGCAGCCAACCAGACCTGCCAACATCGTTTGTTGCGCGAAGTACATCGATGCCATATACAACACTTCAGTCCTGTGCTGAATCGGCACAACAGTTTCTCCTCAGGCAACCCAAGAATACCAGAGCAACCGTCACATGAGCACGCAAACAAGCGCGTGTAATTCATGTTCGTAGCACTACATCACTATTAATGATATATATATATGTATATATATATATATATATGCCATGTTACTTCACGCTACGTTAGGTGTGATTCATGTGCTTGATTGTTTTACACTATTTCACCGGTGCATAGACAGTGAATAAGACTGTCTGTGTACAGCACTTCAGCTCGGAGTTTCCCTCTGTGCGCGGTCCTCCGCACTCAGATGCGGCCTTTCGAATACTGTAATGCGAGGAAACCAAAAAAAATCTACAACGATATAAATGTAACAGGATACAATATAAAAGGATATAAACGTAACAGAAGATATGGCTAGGTGAGACCGAATCCGTCGTCAAGCGTATCTCTTGGGTAATATAACTCAGCAACGCGTGTAAATGTGATTTGTACATATGTTTCGCTACGTCCTCAGCCAGCATGTGTCATGAGCTGAAGAGAATACAAATACATACATCGAACTATGGTGACTATTAGAACCACTTGTATAATAGGTACGACAGTACGAAACGAATATTAAACATTTCGACCACTGTTGTTTATAGTTGCTATTGTATTCATACTTTTACATTTCTGTTGTTGCTATATTTCTTGTTGCCTTCTCGCACATATACCTCAGTTGCTGAACGATGTGTGAATATATGATCCATATATATATATATATATATATATATATATATGGGCATAACATGTGTGTTGCATATTATAGAAATACACGTATACTACTATATACATATATTATATGAAATCAAGGAGATGATCGCCACAAAGAGACCCAAGACAATTACCACAGTCATTGCCTTCTAAAATAGAAACTGTTTTCAGGTCTCTTGGACACCACAATACGCAGCTACGCTACATGATAAATACATACCAAGAGACCTAAAAGCACATACTCTATTTTATTGTACAGAAAGCCATATTTAATTAATACCATAGCGGCATAGCCTTCAGAAAAAGAACTTCAGAAGGCTATGACAAAGCGGAAGTAAATATGTCTTTTGTTTTTGGTAAAAAACAGATACCAAAAAGGTGGGCCAAATATAATTTGGCGGGCTACTCGGTTCTAAACGATTCGACGATGGCACCGAACACGAAAGTTTCGGCATTGTATAAAAATATTATGTACATAGGTCACTTGCTGTATACTATTCTGTATATTATACATAGGCCACTTGCTGTATACTATTATGTATATTAGCTCGCTGAGTTCCAGGCCTGGCATATGTATGCGATTACGGTGCTTGACACACTCAGAACACCACTTAAGCCCTAAAGTTCTGAGTGCTTCTGCATATCGACTAATACATTAACGCTTCTGAGGATTAGTTGTGGTTTGTAATTTTTAGAACTAATCGCGTACACAGCTCACAGAAGCACCAGTTGGGTCTAATCAATCAATAGACAAAATTAAAACCTACGATCTCTAGGTAATGAAATCTCTTTGATGATGAGAACGTACGCGATGGACTAACATATGCTGCACAGTGGATATATATTTAGCATCACACGCAGGCAGTATTTATGATTGAGTTTCACGATAGAGTTTGCTATTGGTAAAGGCGCTATATATCGAGTATGATCTGGTGTTCAATAAGTATACAATATATAAGCCAATATGCGGCGCTTGGGATTGCGCCAACCCACAAAGGCGCAAGGCATTCATTCAGAAGGCAAGCGTCCTGTCGACCTGCAATCATTGGATGTTCAGGTATGCCTGTGGTTGTGCGATATAGTGGTTGTGTTTGCATAGTTAGGGTATACAGTTGTTTTATATCAATATCTATGACGAATTCCGTCGCTTCATTCGTTGTAAGTTACAGGATGTACCTCATTGTGCGATATAGTGGATGTGTATTGATATGTATGGTGCATGTCGATGGAAGTTTGGTATGCACGTGGTTATGCGATATAGTGGTTGTATATTGATATGTAGTACGTGGGTATCGTGAAATGCCTCTTTAAAAGAGGCGCAACTGGGAGATTTATATGTAGCTAGTAGTTGGTATTCCTTTTTTTTTGCTGTGCTGCGTTAAAGATAAACGTTCATAGCCCCCACTATTTGTGTGTGCAGGTTTCTGTGCTGACATTTACGATAGCTATTTCGTGTCTTAGAATATACACATACCTGATAGTTAATGTTGAGCTATACAGACCGTGGTGACATTATCTCATTTACAACCCTACACATGTCGTTTCACTTCTCTACCTTCTAGAATACTGTGAGTTGTTATTTGTACGACCTTGGAAGTTCGTTCTGGTGAGTTGTTGTGGGATTGCAGAGACATGAATTGCGTGTGAGTTGTCGAGATAGTGTATATGGGCTAGTTCTGTTTAGTTGCATCTTAACTATAGCCTTATCTATTGCTTGTCAAGCCAGTTTTTATAGACGAATTCGCCAGTATCGATTATAAATTTGTACTACAAGTTTGGTTTCTACTTGACTACAGCTGTAGAGATCATAACTATCTACGAATAATATACAGACGTGGATATAATATGAATGAGCAGTAATGGGCTTGCTAAGCTTCACGTTTTTCCGCACACTACTGCGTGGCTCACTTTACACGTATAAACCCATAATGAACACGGCACGTCGAGTGAGATATTTTTTTAACTTCAGCTATGTACTTATGCATCGAGCAGCAATCCCGTACTCATCCAAATGGAGATAGATAAAAATATTGATGGCAAACGCATTGAATTGAGATTCCATTGATTTACGATGTCCAGAACTCAGAATTGTCTAAAGGTCAAAATGAGCAACACACTACAAAGGACTCGGCCAGCATGGCAACAGAGAACACAGTTAAACACCGCACTGCGCACAGAGCAACCGTGGGTATGAATTGAATCGTGTTGACATGGAGGCAAGACTATTAGTCGTTTTGATACAAACATCGTATGATTGTTGGAAACATGCGTGCTTTATGTTGTTGGTTCCGTATTTGAGGAATATAGCTTCAGTTTAGAGTGCTTTGGATGGCCATGCCTTTGATGAGGCATTAGTGAATGAATAGATGTTAGGAATGAAAAGGATGTACTATCGGATCGTTCTTGTATTGGAAGGAAACGATGTGGTAGCTCGTTGCGCTAGAAATTCTAGTCACAAGCAATTTTATTGTTCAAACTGTCACTTTTTCAATTTATGTATATTGTTAGTGTTATCTTGGCGAATGTCCGAAGTTTATGTGTGTGCCTGTGTGAATCTTTGTTTTCACTCATATCAGGCACCATCTGAGGGGAAAGAGACTCCTGCAAACTGGTTCATTCATCAAGGCCGAGAAGTTATTTTGCTCGTTAGTATCCACTCTGGCAATAAACTCCCATCCCCCTCCCATAAAAGGCATTCCTCTTATGACATGCACTTCTTTCCGGCACTCTATTCAGCACCTCTTCGGCCCCAATATAGCTTCCAAAATTATGTATGTATTGCAAACCCTCAACTGATTATAAATATTTATATGCAAACACCGCAGATCTGCGCATAGCTGGATTGCTTGACGGCCTCGATGACGACAGTTTTTTTGGGGACGATATGATCATAGCAAACGAACCAAGCACAGGTGTAGATAAGAATACAACAATTGAGGCGAACACAGGCATAATTGCATACACAGCTATCAGGTTAAACCCAACACATAGCATCAATACAGAGAAGGATATGGGCGCTAAACTTGACCGAAGGAAAGTAGGGGGCATTAACAGTGCGGAATACCAACAGAGTGAGAATTCAAACGTCGATGTTATGACAACTGAAGATGAGAAAAATGCACAATATATGGATACGCATGTGGGTACTGATGATGCGGGCGATCGGGCCGCAAATATTGATCGCGAGTTGATGAACATGTGTGCTCCAGTCTCAATTGGTACTAACAATAACCTCAGTGGTGAAAATGGGTATTGTGCTACGGACAGTAGGAATAGTCACAGTGCTGTGCACCCAGGAATGAAGCGCAATGTGGAATATGGCTTTGGTGTAGCGAACAATTTGATAAATCACAGTACTCATGATGCTGCACCAGGTCATGGTGGCAATGATAGCCATAGCGCTGTGTTTACCCACACTGTTAATACACATAGTGTTTTAAGTGGTGGCAAAGGGGTACTCACTGGCAGAGCTACCGATGCATCAGCTGTTTGCCAACAAAACGAAGCTAATAAACTGACGGCTACTGTGGCATCATCATTTGGCAGGCAAGAGACTGCACCGATACCTCATGAGCTACAAGAGGCGCGAAAGGGCCCAAAAGTTAATGAAGAGATGCAAAGGGTACCCTCGGTGTCGCCAAATGGGCAGAGGGGCACTGATAGTCTACACGAGGTGTACATTGGGGGCCAAAGATCTGTAGCATGCATACTTAGGAGGCCAAGCGATGATCTGGTTGATCCACAAATTGAAGAGCACTCGCAGGTGAGCCAGGCACAGTACGGCATGACAGAAGACCTGAGTCCGGTATGTGGCAGGTGTAGGCTCGGAAACGATTTGTTTGCATTTAGATAGTAAATTCTTATGAATGTGATTGCAGTCAAACTAAAGAGTGGATGTATATGAATATTAATCAATATTTGCCTGGGGTGTTTTTGACTGTGATCTTTCATTGACCGAAAATTGGCCTGTAATGTGGTGCGTAAAGCGGCGTACATCCGAATGTGCAATCAAAATATTAGGACGCATTGAAGCTGCTTGCCATGTGAGGTATAAAATCGAGCAATTGGAAACATCATATGCACATATCGTGGCATAAAACGCTGCATTCAATGCATTCTGTTTAAGTGCCGTGCTTTGCCCTGTAAGAGGCGACCTTTTTAGGTCTATAATGGAGCTGGCAAAAAAACAGAGGATGTGGAAAAAATAACGCACAATATTTAGAAGGGCACAATGCTAGAGACTACGGAAAAGTTCGCGATGAGAAATTCGTATACACAAGGACTAGGGGTTACACTATTTGTTCATGCATGTCCTTTTTTATTTATATCTACAGATTATAGTAATTAACTGTCGTTTGCCGGCTATATATTCACGTAGTTGCGTATGCTCGCCCTAAAATTCATCTCGCGAGTCCTTCGTACAGTGCTGATCATGTGGCAAGAAGTAGCACAGTATTTTCACCTACACCTTTTCCGCCCGACTACATGCACGCAAATGCCACTTACATGTCTATTCATATTCGATTATTTCTATCTTTGGCTGTAGGAAAGGCAGCGATTATCAGTTGAAAAGGGCCAGACTCCTGTTGCAAGTGGTAAGTGTATATTGGAGTCTGTGACTTGATGTAATTTCTCGATTTTTTCATTGTATCTTCAATGCTGATGTGCAATAGTGCATATTTTCGCCGACATAACCGACTCCTCGGCAACAATTCCGTATTGTAGAATTTGAGCCTCCGTGCAAACATTGCGCGGACATGAGTACGCGCGGCAGTTGCAGACAAAGGTCTCTGAAATGCACCACCTGAGAGTATGGATGTCAGACAAAGAGGAACAAAATACATCAACGTGCATTGGTGCGCACTCATAGATGTAGTATAGACGCGTAAAAATAAATTGAGAAAACAGTGATCATCAGTCTTCTCATGTATATGTGTTACTTTGCCGTATCTACTCTAATTATCATACAAGCATATATAGGACCATCTGAGTATCGTTTACTGGATGTCCGCGAGGATTGTCGAGTACATCTTAATTTCTAACATAGACCCTATGTCCGTAAACAAGCGCACTGGGATTGTTTGTTTATAGCTCAAATAAATGCCACAACATTGTGGCTTGACTTCCTCATGTAAATCCTATCCTATCACTCACACAGCTCAGTATCTGAGGAACAGCCCGTGTCCAAGCCAAATCCATTATACTTCGTGCACGCCCGACTTTCACCTGCAGGCAGTATGTGAAATTAATCAAGTATCTTCCCCACGGCCAATTATTTATGTGTATTTAACCGATAGTTCATCTCCTTGTTTATACCACACATGCGTCTAGGCGACCGATTAAACATATCCTACTGGGTGTCCAAGAAGGCCGCCAGCGCCTATCAGGCGTATGCCAATGTAGTGCAAATGTTCGAGTGGCAGGCAGAGTGCATGGCCTATGCAGTGGAAGGACTTAAGAAGGGCAGAGGCATTGTATACAGCGCTCCTACATCGGGCGGTAAAACTCTTGTACGTTAACTTTGTGTTGTGCGTTGTGTGCGGAGGTATGCTGTTTTAAGTGCCGCACATGCTTTAGTTTGGTATGAAGTGTGGGAAAAGTTGCAGGGTGCGTGTGTATATTTGCATGGCGCGAAGCTGCCTGGCTTGGAACCATATTTTATGGTTTGATGTATTGAGCCCACCGTTATATTAATGTTCAATAAGTTTAAAAATTGGTATTAGTGTGTGTGTTTGCAAAGCTGCATAATCCATCAACGTGTGGTAGCGGTTTGGAAATATACTTGAACGATACACCGGATGAAAGTAGATGAAACAGTTTGTATATTATGTGACGGTATCTATCGCATGGATCTATTAGATATATTTGCCGATGTGCTGCTGATTGAATTGGAGTATCATGACAGCTTAGGAAGGAGTGGGGTTTAAAAATAGACTATTAGCGCGCCCATCTATTTCACAATTTTACAGTGTACTGTGTATAGCCCGAAGGCAGCTGCTATGGTAGCCATTTTCATATTCTTATTCTTACGTGTGGCTTTTCAACTGGAAATATGTGTATACCCATGATAAGCACCGCTACTACCACACCAACTGGTAAATCGCCCATCCACAATTTCTCACGTACACTCCGACTTGCCAGGAGGTTGAAGTACTGCTGCTAGGGTCCGATACTTGCGACTAAAAGAAGTGCCCATCTATATTGCGTTCCCACGCTACGACAAGTCAACTAATTTCTTGTTTGACACAAGTACACTCCGACTTGACACGTGAATGAGTTATTGCTGCAAAACTACTCTTTGCAATTAAGCAGAAGTGGTCATTTACCTTTGTGATCTAATTCATGGGCACTCTTCAAACAGCTAACCGACTGCTAGCTGACTTAACCATCTCGCCACAGCACACTCCGACTGGACAGGTGGCTGCTTCGTTAATGAATAAACGTCTTCTCAATGCAACATGATTGCTCATCTGCATTGACTCTCTACTTCTATCTCACTCGTTACAACCACACTCCGATTCGACAGGTGGCTGAACTACTCTTGATTAGACGCATCCTTACAACAAAGAAGAAGTGCCTGTTTATTGTGCCTTACAACAGTATCGTGGTGGAGAAATCGGCCCATTTCGTCAAGCTGTTCAAAACCCTTAACCTCGTGGTGTACAACTATGGAGGTCCACAGAACACTGTAAGTACCATACTGAATCAATTCACGATGGATCATACCTCTAGAATCTTCTCATGTATAAAAGAACGAGTTGGCTGATGTCCCAATTCGAAGCCACATGTCCCGAAAGTGCTTTATGTTAAAATTTCTATCACGTATAGTATACGGTGAGATATATTGTCATTGAGATGGTATATGCGACCCAGTGTGCTATTTTGAGCGCACTCTGTGTTTTACCGCAAGTACAGAAGTTGTTATCAGATAGCCTTGATTATTTGAAGGTCAAGTACCAATGTGAATTCGCACGTTTATGCAAGAAATGTTCTACGAAAGTGCACATTGTCTAACAAGTGCCAAAGATGTGATGCTAAAGTCGAGTTGTGTTGCCAGAGACATGACTGTTTATTAAGTTTTTGCAACACTTTTGTACACGTCAAGGGTTGTTTTTCTTAGACAGATAATTTTTTCCTCTGAGTGTGATTCATAGCGATGGCCATATGTATCATCAAATGGTGACTGATGCATATCAGCTATGATGCATAATTAAACTTTCGAAAAAAGAGTGGTAGTTCTGCATCCAGTTAAATACTTATTCAAGCTGCTACAATTTGTCAATTTGTCATGCGAATTCGTAACTTACTTCGTCATATATCAATACTGTTCACAGTTTACTTTCGAGAGAGCGGATTTGATCGTTTGCACTGCAGAGAAAGCCAACGGCATCTGCAACAAACTCATCGCCGAGCATAAGATGCACACTCTTGGTATGTGTATGCTACTGTATATATCCAAGAGAATACACATATCTGTAAGCTGTATTTACGTATGGGTATATATTTCTGTGCTCAAAGCGTGAACAATGTCTCAATACGAGTCTTTTGCTCTTGGGTGTACTAAATACCTTGTACATACTATTTACTTTGTACATTTGACTGATGCACAGCATGTCTCATTTATTGTCTATTGCCATCGCAAGTTTGCAACATCGGGTTTTCTATTGAAGTTCGCTTGTTTTTGTGAACGGTTGATCAGCGTATCGCTCAACCGCTAGAAAGTAATGAATGATACCTGCGAGGAAGACTGCGACAATTTGTCATGTAAATGTGATAGGTATCGATACTTTCATTCCCTTTAAAAGCTCTAGATCGAATAGATTTTATTGAGCTGTAGTTACATCGCAAATGCTTTTTGAGTTTAGTCTCAATTCTATGCGGGCGATTTACAAATTACACAAGTATTCATCCGAACCATGTGGATGCAGTGGAGCGCTTCCATACTTTTATATCAGTGTGGCACTTCACATGTATATCTCATACGTTACTAGCTGAGACTCACACAGCAGGTCACTTGATATCGTTGCAGGGATGGTTGTAGTTGATGAATTGCATATGGTCGCCGATGACAAGAGAGGGTCAATTCTGGAGATGTTGATGATCAAGATCATGGCTGCCAAAGCGGGCATGGGCCACTCAATTCCCACCACACAGATATCTACTCAGGCATCAACACAGATGCAAACACAGACACAGATACATACGCAGATGCAATCGCAATCGTCGTATATGATGAATATGACGCAGGCAGGACTGGCACAGACGCAGGTAGTTAGAAGTTAAAGACATTTGTACCGCGTGCTATGTGGGTTGGGTAGGTACTATGTATACTTGTTATATACTTAGCACTGATAGTCAGATGTTGGATAAGGCACACATTTATGGCGATTTGTACATGAGTGTACGAGAAACAACTCAAACATACGTAACTCACACTACATGCGCACACCCACACTTGCATGTACCACTCGCACAACATAAACAATGTGCGCGATTCGTACAACTTGCAAACCTTTGGGTACAACATACCCTCGCAGCGTGGATACGTCGCTGCTAGTTGTTTGTGTTTCCGCAACCAAATGTGTAGTTAAGACGAACGGAGGCATATGAAGGTAGTAACAATCGGATGCACTTGAACGTTTGTTGTGTAGTGCTACGTGCTTTCACCTTAAGCACCCACTTCATACATGTGAACATATCCAACATGTGTAATTCCTACTTCCCATGTAAGCGATTGCGATTGTACTTCGGTAGGTGTTTCACTTTGAAGTCAGTGTGTTCATTGGACAACTGTGCTTGAGCAGCTGGAGGCGTTTGCCGAGAGTGTGATCTTCGCTCTTCTCCAAGCCGTTTGTCGACCTTATAGATAATCAATGCACACAAAATCACAACGCAGACCTCTGATACTGTGATTGAGATAACACGACCTCGCAACATCCGACATGATATCACACTCTCCTGTTTATCTCTTATTGCACGCCAACAATATCAATTCCCCAGGAGCAATTTTTAAAGGGAACGCAGAATTGTACCCCAAATAATGGAGACACCCGCTGCAGCATCCAGGTCGTCGCCATGAGTGCCACATTATCTAATCTGAAGGTGTGTATACAAGTCAACACCTATTGCAATACATGTACTTTTCAATCTGTTACGTTGTACAATATGAATATATATATATATATATATATGTGTGTGTGTGTGTGTTTGTGTTCGTGGATATTCGAGTAGCTCATGCGGCTGTTTTACCTGCTTCTGCATGGAAATAAATTTGTTTGTAGATGAAAATATAGTATTGCCTGATAAGTTCCTATTATTAATTCCCAAATTGACACCAAATTGAGGATGCTACGAACCGTAAATATACAATTGCGAGGTAACTCTATAAGATCGAATGTCAGATTATTTCTTATATCAATAGAACTTCACATTGTATACCACTGTTGACTGTATTTTGAAGATCAAATATATATTGCATCTACCAGTTGGTTATAGCAGGCAAATATATCGAGAGTTTGTTTGCAGTCGCTTCTGAAGTGGACTATGGTGGCTGACTCATTGCCTTTGTATTCTGCTTATGCAGGTGCTTGCAGAATGGTTGGATGCAGAAATGTACGTCACTTCATTTCGTCCGGTTGAGCTCGTGCAATACTGTAAGTGTGCTCGTCTGTTACATTCAATGAGGAAGCCCGATAGCCTAGTCGAAATAATGTATTACTGAAAATAAATCACTACTTCCAACTAGTAGGCTTTGTACTGAAATATCGATAAGGCAATACTCTGTGTGATAGGCTCGTTGCTGTAAGTTGAATAGTCTACATGATGATACTCTGAACAAATTCCTGTCTCCGTCAGTAGTCCTTGGGAAGTCCCACTAGCGGATACACCCCTCCTTAATACACGTTTTGGGTCACTGATGTACTTGTCTGTCGTTCATCGCTTAAAGTCACTTGCCTGTGCGTGTTCAACCGCTGAATTTATACAACCCCACTTTTTATAGTCAAATTCGGGCGCGGTATCTACGACACAGAGGGTAAGTTCGTACGCGACTTCCTGCAAACTGCACCTGATGATCCTAAACCAGACTTTCTGGTTGAGAAACAGGACAGTACGAAGTATGAGTACAAGCACGCTGCTGTGGACCAGAGTGGTCTCGCTCCACTATGTTGGGAAACAGGTGTGTTAATATATACATATAAATATTTGTCTATGTATATGTATATCTATAAGTTTTGTGTTCTATGTTTCTATGCATACTGGTGAAGCCGTTGTAGATGTGGGGATGCTCGCTTAGTCGTGCTCACAATTGGCATTACTATGCGTTTGCTTTTGTAAATATTCCATACGTGTGTTTGGTTCTGCATACATACTCTTGCGAAGGTTGGATTAAAGATTTTGTACCCTCAGTCCTGCACTCCCTTTGCATACATGCTCCATATTGTGTAAGAAAGTCTTGTACATGCATAAATACATACTAAATATACTTCAAAAACTTGCGTACATACTACACATAGTGAAATCGGGTCACTCGGTTCTGATATTCTGTCAGACGCGGAAGTTCTGCCAAAACTCGGCGCGTCTGGTCAACAACTGCATGCCATCGGCATTGCAGACAGACGAAAGGGAAGCACTGGTAGACCTCGTGTCGCGCTATAAACAGATACCAACTGGCTGGGTGAGTGAGTCCATACTGGTAATTTATTGAGATTTTTATACTGGGATCAGCTAGGGCGATCGAGTGCACACACGAGTGTAAACCCTAAAACCCACGAGGTTGGCTTTGCTGGATCCAACTAACAGCATGTAGTATGTATTTAAGCATTTCACTTCAGTATATTCTAGTGGTCTTCGACTACCCATCTCAAACGAACAGCGGCAAATTCGTACCAAAATATCTTCCTGTTTGTATGAAATATAATAATACGTTCAGGTTACAAATATAAACAATGATTCAATTAGTCAAGATTGAATTCCCAAGCATAGCAAAGGACATACGTATATGCTTCCAAAGGTATCTTATAATCATACACTTGTTCTAAATCAATCGATTATCATTCGTTTCGTGCAAAACGCAGGACAAAGAATTGGTACCGTTGATGCTCAATGGAATCGCATACCATCATAGTGGGCTGACCCTGGACGAAAGAGAACTCGTAGAAGAAGGTGCGTGCACACCTTGTATATGATGTTCACGTAGATGTATGTGCGCAGTTGTGAAATGGATAGATTATTATACATACATTGACTTGTGCGAGCGCGCCAATCGTAGTCAGGCCACGTTTTCAGTGAGACAAATGTATAACAATGGCATTGCCAGGCTGGTCATGCATGACACGCGCATATATAATGCGTGATGACTTACGAGACTGTTTTTCCGTTGTGAATCATCTAGCATGTGGTTGTGTTTATTGTCCATAATAAGCGTGTCGCGCATGCTTCTCGTGTGCAGGTGTTCCAATATATGCATTGGTCGTAATTCTGCGCTAACAAATCGCGTGTGCCATTATTGAGATGGTGGATCAGCTGAGAGTCCCAATATTGAACATATAATTTCAGTCACTGGATGTATGTTACGTATCCGCATACTCGAAAGAATTTTCCCATGTAATCGACTGTTGGCCAATAGTGGCTTAGTCTGGAATCGTCCAAGTGATCTTCCTTTCCTTGTCCCAGAGAGATATATATTGTGTCGTTCCATATCAAATCTTCTTTGTTCGCACTTTTCGCAACCGCGAGGTGTATGTGTGCCAAACTATCAGAAATCACGGGGCCGGCCTCTGCGGTGTTCATGACCGGTGCATACAACAACCGCTTGCCGAACGTGTGTTTCGGGTTGCTTGCTCAAATAAAGCATACATATCAGCATACTCACTTCTTGAACACTCGACACGTGCATTCGTTTCACAATCTCGTTCGAATCGTTTACAATTGATAGGCTTTCGGCGGAATATCATCAAAGTTTTAACCGCCACCACAACCCTCTCGTCTGGTGTCAATCTGCCTGCACGGCGGGTGATATTCCGGACCATTATGCAGAGTCGATGGAATGTTACCAAAGTGATGTACAACCAGATGAAGGGTCGCGCTGGAAGAACTGGTATGCATGTTGTATGTACTGTGCATTTAACGTTTTGTGGTTGTTTGTACGAATGTGACGATGGAATGATACAAGGTGTTGTGCAATCAGATGAAGAGACGTGCAGGCAGATGCGCTATGTGTGTGGTCTTAAATTTGAGTGTAGGCGCTGTGTGTGTTGTGCCTCATGTGTGGTTGTGTGAGTGTGGGCGTAAGTGTTGTGTGTTGTGACCCGTGTATAATTGTGAGAGTTTGGGTATTAGCACTGTATGTGTTTTGTCTCGTACGGGCTGTGTAAGTGCGGATATATTGTTGTATGTTGTGGCTGTACGTGTGTGCGCAGGTAGGATGAACGTGTAAAAAGCTTATGCGTAGAAGATCAATAAATAAAAGTGTAGTTGAGTGTATGTATGTGTATTGGTATGTTGTTGAGTTAAATCTGTATATAGTTCTGTGTATGTGTGTGTGTATACATTATGGCGAATGCACAGCATATTTTGTGTGTGTATGTGAATCATCTATAGAATATTTCCTAGTCGGGGGCGAGCCTCGCCAATTGAGTGCACCACTCAGTATAGGATGGTGTTTCTAAGCAGACGAGCGTATCGTTTTCTCACACTCTTGGGCACAGGGAAGGACGATATGGGCGAGTCCATTATAATATGCAAAGATCGCAATGAAAAGCAAATGGCCATAGAGCTCATGGGAACAGCCATTCCACCCGTCAAAAGCGCCCTGGGCAATCTGTCTGTGAAATCACTCACCAATCCTAGTGCATCTAGTTCGGACAGATCTGGCCCCAAAAGTGAGGCTACAGACAGTAAGAGGTACATACGAATTACACATCCAAGCATGTGTGTTGCACTTTTGTCAGATGTGAATGTTTGTGAATGTCATATCTGAACACATGCGTTCGTACGACACATAAAAAACATGATTTATATCAGATGACTCGTACATCGTTTATCTGCGTGTACTCATCGATTTACATGTATCTAATGATAGTCCAGTAAACTCGTGGACCTCGAGCCGAGCATGGATGAACATTCTGAATTAAAAGTTGGGCATGTATGGTATAAAGTGCAAAAAAAGTCATTTTCCATTTACAAAGACACTTTTTGAGAGAAGGATAGTCCATTTACATATGCAAAATCTATTGATAGGAGCCAGAAAGATACACACATACATACGGAATACATATGTTGCCGAATCTATGTATCTGGCAAAGCAATTTCTCGCTAGCATGTCGCGGCCAGCGGAAGCCAGAGTAAATTTTGTATACAAACATGCGCACTTCAATTAAATTTTAATTAAGTACGATCGTCAGTTCACATTTGAGAGTTGCGAATCACACGTAGAATGCAAATACTTGTATTATGAATACAAAATTTATCGGTATGGAGACACATCTAGCACTCATCGATTCACCTGGACACCTTTATCCTTCATACACAGTGAAATGGAAACGGCGGACCCAGCATTCACTAACGGACAGCTGGCTCGCATTTCACAGGCGCTCCTCGAAGGCGTTGTGGGTGGCATGGTGGCCGATTTAGATGATGCAACGTGTTATATGGGGTGTGTATATATATAACGTTGCAATGCGTGTGTATTCAATGTCTGGAGTGCATACGTGTGGTTTGATGTGTGTGCGCATATTAATTTATGTATCTATGTATCTCCCGGATTCCAATGAGCTTTAAGTAGTGTCCTAAGCCTCCCTTGGAAGCTCTACGGGTGGTGTAGTGGCCGAAGTCGATGGTGCAACACAATATATTGGTTGTGATGGCTGCTGTACGATGTGCATGTACTCGCTGTATGACGTGTGCGTTATTCGGGCAGTTTATACTCAGTTTGTGGTATCTGTAAACTTGCCTTAAAGAAGAATGTATATTTGCTGGTGATGCGTTCTGAGCTGCTCGCTCGAATACCATAAAGTGTTTATGCAACACCTAAGATGTCCACACACTTAAATCCGAGTGTTGCATCAAATATACAAACCCTTAAGTTGCAGCTATGGTAACCACCAACCGCAAACATATATATGCAAATCTTTGAATTAGTCTAAATTCGCACTTTTCCGCGAGTTTGGATTTGCAAACATACTGGAATCATGCCGATATATGTGCTCTAGCCAACACTGTGCATTTATGTAGTGACTATTGCTGATCGTACACACACACACATTCACACACACACACACACACATATATATATATATATATATATATATATATATATATATATATATATATACTACTACGTACGGTACGGTACGTACTTACTAAGTAAGTAAGTACGTACTACTAACTAACTAACTAACTAACTTACTTACTTACTATATATACTATTACTTTACGTTTACGTTTCCGTTCGTCGTCGT